CAGCGAACCTTCTTGCTCTTGATCTGGCCGATGCGCTTGTTGGCGAGGCGGCGGGGGCTGGCGCAGCGGGCGCCGCTGGTCTCCACGGGGTTGGCGCGCAGGAAGTCCGCCAGCCACTTGAGGTTGCAGTCACAGACAAAGGGGTTTTGGGCCAGGTGCCTGTGCCACGGAAGGAGCGAGTGCTGGGCTGGGATCCCAGAGGACCTGGCACGTGCCACCGCGGGGCAGGTGGCAAGCCCAGGAGGTGCCAGCGCGGGGCTGTGCTCACAGCGTCTGGATGGCCCGCAGGGAGGCGAAGGTGCCCTTGGCCAAGCTCTGGATCTTGTTGTCGTAGAGCGAGAGCAGCGAGAGGTTCTGCAGGTCCTGGAAGGTGTCCGCCCGCACGCAGTTGATCTTGTTGGCGTTGAGCAGCCTGTTGGGAAGGGGCACAGTGAGGGGTCGGGCGCCCCACACTGCGGCCGCCCGGCCCTGCGCCCCCCGCTTACAGCAGCTGCAGAGCGAAGAGGCCCCCGAAGACGCCCTTGGGCAGCTCCGTGATCTTGTTGCCGTACAGCACTCTGGGGAGAGATGCTGGCATGAGGGGCCCGCTGCCCCTGTCCCGGGGGGCATGAGGATCCCTGCACACCCCCAGCACAGCCACTCACAGCGAGTTGAGCGAGCGCAGCCCCTGGAAGGCATCGGGAGCAATCTCCGAGATCTGGTTGTTGCTCAGGTCTCTGAAAGCCAAAGGGAGAGGGTGACCTGAGTCCCCTGCCCAAAGCCTCCTCGCCAGCGAGTTGAGTGGGCGCCCCATGCCCACGGGAGCAGGGGGCCTGTGGGCAGCGCGCTTACATCCGCCGCAACTTCTTGTAAGGAGAGAAGGCACCGGGGGGGATGGACTTGATGCCGTTCAGCTCCAGGCGTCTGCAAAGAGAAGGGGGAAGAGGTGAGGGCAGCAGGGCTGGTGAGTCCCCCCCAGCGCCCCATGGATGGGCAGGGGCACCTCCTCCCTCCCCTGGGGCCCTGGGCCTGGGGGTGCCTGCCACCTCGGCCGCCCTCTGCGCGCCATCCCAGTGGGGGCTTTGCACTGTAATTGGATTCCCCTAAGGGGATTATTTCTCCATTTACATTTTCAACGCAGCTAAATCCAGGGCTGCCAAGCGGGATGCAGGGAGCCCCCACAGCTCAGTACCCTGCACCTGGCTGCGCGCAATGTGGATGCACTGCTGGGGGCTGCAGCACAGCATCACACAGGGCTACCGCCCCCCGGGCACGTTACAGCGCGCGGAGGAGCCGGCCCGCCACGGTGAGGGGCTGCCCTGGCACCGCGGCACCCCGTC